ATGCACATTTATGATCAAAATTGCTAATAAATATTACAAGCATGCCCTGATAAAAACTTTTATTCGTTCAATTTTTTCAGCTATTGATTGTTTTATCATTATATTTATTTTATAGTCTTTAGTATTTTAATAATTTTTTGAATGTGTACTTACTCATCTTGACTCAAAATATTTGTGGAATGTTTTTTTAAATGTTTTCGTAAATATCCCTTGTTCGTCAAGAAAGACATTATTTTACTACAGTTATTACATTTTGCCTTATATCCCGGTAACTCCGAGTAATATTGTTTTAAGTTGTCAGGTAGTGTGTGAGTGTCATCATCGAGAGATATTCCATGTTTTTTTAATAAGTGTACTCTCATTATTGTTGTGCGGTATTTTGGGTGAGATACCTTAATTTCTTTTTTACAGGTCGTGCACTTTATCAGCGTAGGTTTCAATTTCTCGAAATAATTCCAAATCTTGCTGCGTTTTCTTCTCGGTGTCATTATAACTGTCCTGTAATACAGATTTCTGATACTAAATTGTGTTACAGTGAGCGCCTTAAAAAGCGCTTATAGAATTTTTCACAAAGGTCAAGAAGAGGGGTATGTTTTTTTTTTATTAGAGTAAATGTTTATAAAGATATATATTTTAAATTTTCCTAATTACTACCAGATCACATACAGAAAATCGATTTTCTTAAGATTTTCTTGAAACTGTGAATATACGTTAATTTAGGTGTGCTTTATGCGTGGTATAAATTTCAGTACCTCTTCCGGGATAAAAAATAAAGATACCGAGCCTCAAAGTTTCAACTTTTACTAATGAAAAGGATTTCCAGGCCAAACGGTAAAAGATACGAGGTTGGCCAAAAGGATCAAAGTTGCTCCTCTTGTCGAGTTCTATAAGGAAAAAATGCCAAAACTAAAAAAAATTAAATTTTAAATTTTTTTTTTGAAACTTTGAGGCTTAGTATCTTTATTTTTTATCCCGGAAGAGGTATTGAAATTTATACCACGCATAAAGCACACCTAAATTAACGTATATTCACAGTTTCAAGAAATTCCTAAGAAAATCGATTTTCTCTAGTATAAGGACCGGAGAACGTCCTTAAGTCGTCAGGTAGTGAGAGAGTGTCATTATCGAGAAATATTCCATGTACTTTTAATAAGTGTTGTCTGAATGTTCGCATACGGTTTTTATAATTAGTCTCTATTAGTTTATTATAGTTTCTATTATTGTCTGATAGTAAAAGTGGTACAGTGATTGCATCAACAAGCGTTTGTAGAATTTTTCACAAAGATCATAAAGAGGCATGGTTTACTTATTGGGATGTATGTTTATACGGATATATAGTTAAAATTTGCATAATTATCGGGTTTCGTACAAATCTTCAAACATATATTTTTTTTTTAAGTAATAAACGCATTAAGTGTACATGCACATTTATAATCAAAATTGCAAGTAAATATTATATGAATGGCCCGATAAAAGCTTTTATTCGCTCAATATTTTTTAGTTATACTGATTGTTTTATCATTACATTTATTTCATAATTTTTAGTATTTTAATAATTTTTTGATTGTGTACTTACTCATCTCGACTCTGGATTTTTATGGAATGTCTCCTTAAATGTACTCGTAAATTTTCAATATTTGTTAAGAAAGACACTGCTTTGCCACAATTATTACATTTTGCCTTATATGCCGGTAACTCCGAGTAATATTGTTTTAAGTCATCAGGTAGTGTGACAGTCTCATCATCAAGGGATATTCCATGTACATTTAATATGTGTGCTCTCATTATTTTTGTGCGTCTTGTTGGATTAGGTGTCTTAATTTCTTTTTGACAGGTCGTGCACTTTACTAGCGAATAATTCAACTTCTCGAAATAATTCCACAACTTGCTACGTTCTCTTGTTGGTGCCATTATATCCGTCCTGTAATACAGATTAATCGTCTGATACTGAATGTGATACAGTGATCGCCACAACAATAACCGTTTGTAAAATTTGCCACAATGGATAAAAAGAGGCATGGTTTATTTATTAGGATGTATGTTTATATATGTGGATATATAGTTTAAAGTCCAATTACTAGAACGTACATATGTATAAAACTTATATTTTTCAAAAAAGATTAAAATATGTATGCTGAATTTTGTGTTAGTCATTATATTTGCAATGTAAGTTTTTATGAAACCTACCAAAGTTGTTTATATTTAATTATTTATCACTTTAATTTAAAAATCTATTCTATGGAACAACGTACATTATTGAGTACTTCACAATACGCATTCGCATTTTGTATAAATGTTGTTTCTAGCCAACCTATCTGCTCGGCGTTTTTTAGTAAAAGTCATTTTTATTTCCCACAAGCATTAACCTTTTCGCTTCTAATGTTGCTGTAGCCGGCATCCATGTGACATTCGTAGATACTAGCGCCGGCATAGCCGTGTATTGCCTAACTTTGCTTGTGTGTAGCGTATTAAATACGAAGTTTAAAATAATAATAAAATATAATTTTAAAATATAATTTTGTACTTACGTAAATCCCGTTTTACTTTTATGCTTGAAAAATTATATATCTTTAATGCAACGAGTTAAAACGGTGGAGTCATAGCACTTTTTCGCTCCAAGACGAACGCTGGCGGCTTATGCTGCTGTATACCTCATAATCGCTATTCGGCCAACGCCACCATAGCAAAAAGGTTAAATACTTTGAAATAAAATGTCGCACTAGATGTGTGTTAAAATTAAAACTCCTGGACCCGTGTGTAGTTTGATTTTGGATATGATCGCAATTATCAGACTTTTGAGTTTGCCATGAATTCTTGTTAGTGATTTTTTTGCTTCAAAATTTTAATTGTACATGAAATCGAATAATACGAATTAAAAAATCAATATGCATAGGTAGACAAGTGAATATCCAGCATACACATATGATTACTGTCTTAAGTTTCAGCGTGTAAATCTTGTTTACACCAAGCATTTGATACGCATACTAAGTATATATTATATTAGGACTAAATCCATTGGTACGATCGATGTAAACGACGGAGTATCAGATTGGTACGATACTCGAGAACAGCCTGTATCAGACTAAGTTGATATCGCGTATTAAATGCATTCTTAATGTGCTGTCTGATTGGCTTGATACATACAAGTTGAAACCATTGTATACGTAATCGAAATTGAAAAACGTCTTGAAAAAATCACTAATATGATTTAACACGGTCGATGTAAACAGAAACGTATCTAACACTTAGTCCGCACCAGCTTGATACCCGTATCAAGAGTTTTTACGGTGTAAAATAAGCCATAGAACTATATACAACAGTGGAATGTGAACTTCCATGCTAGTGCTCGGGTCACGAGAAGATAAAGACGGATTGCTTTGCGATCATTCTCTCTCTGTTTAGCAGACTTTTGATTGGTCAATGGTATTCAATTGTTGTCGTACGGCAGGGGTGCGTTCAAATTACGCCTAGGCACACCTCCTAGGTAACTCTAACAAAGGGCTGCGTTCAGAAATTTAACCTGGGTAACTTTAAGCTATAGTTACACTATAGCATTAGAGTTACCTAAGTACGCTTAAACGTAATTCCTGAACGCACCCTAGTATAAGTACATACAGTAGTGACACTGAGCGTCGGCACCTTTGATGTAATGGGTCCTATAGGTCACGAACTCGCCGCCATCTTCTGAGCTGTACGAACGCTTAAGAGAGAATGAGAGGGAAGTATCTTTCTCTTTGTCATACATACAGGCCGCCATATTCCTGGTACGATAAAATTTATTACCACCAAAAAAGTTCAGTCTCTCTACTGTGTATTACTTATACTGCGACTCTAAGGGGTTGCGCACAATAAAAGAAATAGGGAACAGTTCAATATTAATATATGTAATGCATTAACATATGTAATTCATTAACACAGAATAGACGAACAGTTAAGAAACGTTAAGAAACAGTAATGAAATTTTATTCTATATTCTGCATGCCATGTGAACAATGCATATGTTAATATTAAACTGTTCTGTTCGAGATTATTGTCTTTGCTGACCAATCACAATCTCTCTAAGCAAGTCACCAACGCCACAAATTACAGTTTAACAGTTTGGTACCCTGCCCGTTCACGTTACCCTTTATCTCTTACGTTTTTACACTCTCTTACATTCGACTGATTCGACGTTGTGTTGGGTCTTTTCTCTGATTAAAACCATCGAGTATTTCTCGTACATTTTTTGTGTAATTGATTCGTAGTCACCTGCCCTTAACATGTTCTTTATTCGGTTATTCCCTATCCCCTATTCCTTGTTCCCTATTCCTTACATTGTGTGCAGCCACAATGCTATAGGTTGAATTACTAAACACAGCCCAACAAAAAAGGACGGTTGGCAATTCTCCCTTTCGCTCATCCCCCTTTCTTCTCGAGTAGAGTAGTCAAGTTCTGGGTAGCGATCATGTAACTTTTTTCTTAGAGCGGAAACGTGAAAAGTTTCATGTAACTATCTTTTTCTATTGGCGTTGAATAAAAAGAGATAAACTTTTCACTTTTCACGTTTCCGTTTTAGAGGAAAAGATACATGATCGATCCCCAGATTCTAATTTAGTACATAATTCTCTGCGTGTAAAGTATACGAGTGCTTATACCATTTCAAAAAAATTTCAACCTTCGGTAGCCATGTTTATTCTTAAATATGAGCAACTATAATATGAAAAATAAAAAAATTTTTTTATTAAATGTTTAGTTTACCATATATAATTAATTTTTAATTATATTATTGTATAAATGGCTCACGGAAGATTGAGCGCTACTGTATAATTATTTATTTTTTGATTGTATAATTTGAATGATTAAATTAATGTACGCGTATTATTGTGAAATTAAAAGCAAAATTAAGTCAAACTTAAGATTTTATTAACGAACGTTGTTAATTTTTTCTAATATGATTAACGCATTCTTATTAACGGTTTACTTTAAAACTTTAGTAGTTTTTATTTACTAAAAAATTGTTAATAAATTTGGCAGATCTTTTATTCAAAATTTCGTATTATATCACTATTGGTACAAGTAATATAATTAATTGAGTAAAAATGTGAAAAGGTTCGATGCTAAGACAATGATTATTTACGTATAAAATTTTTACTCGTGAAAGTCGACATTCGCGTCTTAGTTACTATATATGAAATGGCAAATAATTAATAGTTTTGTGAAATTTCGGATTTCAGTTTATCATGGCATCCGTTATAAAATTATTATAAAAATCAGAATTTAAAACGTCATATTTTATACTGTTCTCAATAAAACATTTTCGTAAAGTTAATGCAAATATCGTGTTATTTTCACGTTCATGGACGCGATCGCTGCCTCGGTGATAGGGCAGCGATAAGGATGCCTTATCGCTGTCCCTCGCGTCAGGTGGACGCTAATAAATGCGTGGTTTGTAACGATCTTTATCGTAGAGAGTTATTTCTCGTTGGTTTTTATAGGACCCATCTGCGGCGCCTAGATCGGTGTCTCGTTGAATATAAGAGTTTTCGTCACCAGGGTCGAAATTAATTTCGGGTTTTTTTAACGGCTTTCGGAAGCAGTGGTTTCGGCAATGACATTTATTATCACGTAAAGAAATAATTATAGGGAACTCGCGCGCGCGTTGCAACGAGTTTCTAATTCATATCGGAATTGATTTGAGATTATCGCTTCATTCGTGGCGTATTTTTCAGTTTGATCATTGCCTTACATCAAAGCTTTCTTTATTTTTTCGCGTATTGGCCATTTCCTTTGCGAGTTACGCAAAAATAGTATGAAAATAATTGACATCCTGCTTGATTGAGTAATAAAAGTAATACATTTTATTAACGATCTTTTTTTGGTTGTGATTGCTCGCGTAAATTAAAAATAAAGTAAATTAAAAAAACTTTGAACTATAGTTATTTAATAATAAAAAAATGTTACATAATAGCCACATGTTTTATTTTATGAGAATTTCGTTTTATTGTACGCATATACCGAATGTTGCATACATACTTTTATGTCAAAAAGAAAATATTGTATATACAATTTTATTGATCAATTTTGTAATGTAATTTTTTTAAATAGAAGAAAGGACTGCCGATCGGAATCGGCAGGGGCGATGGAGGGCCTCTATAGGTTGACCTGTTTCTAACGGATGTTAGTTAAAACTTAAGATAAAAACTAATATTTAATTTATAACTAAGAAAATGCAAAATCCAAAATGCATTTAATCGCAATGACATTCGGTACAAGCAGGACACCCTTTAAAAATATTGCTTATATATTAAATCTTTTTGTCGATACTAGTACCAGATTAAATAAAATAAAATTGCGCATTATCAGATGAAACCGTGTAAATTTGCAGATATAGCACGGACGCGCACCAAAATGATGTTTTATCGGCAGTGTCGGAAAATGAACGTAGTACTAATTTCGAAAATGGATGTACTGGCGCTAGTGTACAGGGGCTTTCGACCGTCGACGGTCCCAAGCTCCCACGAGGCACGAAAAAGACCGGGATAGCCAGTTTACTCTACTTAACCTGTGTACATATATTTCAGCATTTTTAGGAATATTAACAAGTGTATAATTATATTAACATGACTACGCCAGTATTAACAAAGAAGCAGCAGAGGCACAGCTTGTCAGCTAAAAAAGGGCCTGTTAAGGGCTTACGGAACATCTTGGCACAGCCTAATTCGAACTTCTGGTATACTTTCACATAATAATGTCAATTTTTGGAGAACTTAGTTTTAATAATTTAATATAATAGCATTATTAAACATTTAATAAAAGACAAACATTTATTTATAAATATTATCAACATTTGAACAAAGATAATTGCAATTTGTACTTATTTTTGCAAAATATTTTCTTAGGCCAGTCATCAATGTAAATCAGTATACGGAGTTGACGAAGAACTTAAATACGTAAGTGTGATTTAAGATATGGATACACTTGAAAAATATTGTTTTTAATTGCCATGAAAATGTCTTACAGGATATTACCGTCAATCAAACAGACTAGTAATAGAATTTCTAAACATGTGCTTAAAAATCTGTCAAAAGAAGATCGTACGTTAGCTAGGAGAGAAATGTTAGAAGCGGCATCTCCAAAGCCTGATATATTGTAAGTACTCTATATTCTGTGGCAGCAAACAGTTCGAAATTTATAGCTATTTTGTCTGAATTTCAGGAAATTTATGATTATGGGTATCAATGTAGTTACTCGAGCCTTAGAGAAGGACAATGTATGTTGCGTCTTATTAGACGCTAATGTTGAACCGCCTCTAATAATAAAACATATTGTTACTATGGCGGTGAACAAGAAAATACCTGTTCTTCTACTACCGATTCTGAAAATAGTCACATTAGAAAAAATGGGATTTACCGCAGCAGCTTTTGCTTTAAAGGTAGCGTATAAATATTTTATCACTTTAAAGGTATACATTTCTTAGGTAGATATTTCTTAGAAATTTATTATTTCTGCAGCAAGAGGTGAAGCAATGTCCAGATAATGTTTGTCATCCATTGTACAAATCGATAGCAGAGGCTTTTGAAGACTTTGAAGCGCCAGAGTGCTTGCTCCAACGTTTTGAACTCGACGAGACATCTGATAAGAACACAATGTGTGAAGCGAAGACCACAGGCATGGATTGTGATACAGACCCAAAGATTTCTAAGCCAGAAAAATCTGTTACAGTATTTACAGATGTATATAAATATAGATCTTCGCGAGACAAGAGGGCTTTCATACCGCCAACTGTCAGCAAAAGTTCTCAAGTCTCTCAAACACCATCGGCTGAATTTATTGCTTTAGACAATGATCCTGATCCTGTCAATGATAAAAATTGTACAACTATAGTGAAGAGTAAAAGATATGTAAATATCAGCAAAGAAGAAAAACATACAGAAGAATCTGAAAATATAGAAAAGAATCAGTCTTTTAATAAATCGAAATCAATCGATAATAATTCAGATTCAATAAAACACACAAAAAATTATACATTAAAAAGACGCAGAAATGACCAACCTAATTATTTATCGTTAAAACTAAAACGTATACAAGGAAATGATAAACGAACAAAAGCAACTAAATTAGCTAAGAAAAAGCGATAGAGGTACTTGACAGTTTACTAGTAAAGTAATTGTCTATCTAGTGAATAAAATTCAAATTTTGGATACGATTTTCAGGATCCTGTATATAATAAGGAATTTTGAGTGGAAAAATAATCCAATGTGTGGACAAGAATAAAAAATATATAACAAATCTCAGATAATTGGGTAAAAATAAATTGTGATATTGGAAGTAAAAAAAATTACATTGCTTTTGAAAATCCAAAAAATAACAATTCCAATCAGTTTTCCAAATCAGAAATGTTAGCGAGTGTGATTACACTCATCTTATTTTACGTTAAATAATTGTTAACAAACGTTGCCTTCGACACTGAAATATCTAACAAATAAATTCCTATCTTTGAAGGATTGCTTAATGGTAAGGATTTTAGGAAATTATATAACTAATAACTAATACCTTATAGTATTCATATCTTTCATACTTGTAGCAAAATACGTGAGAAAATTTGCGTTTAATTTAAAAAAATTAATTATAAAAAGAAAAAATAGAACAAAAATATGATGTACAGTAATAAATATATATATTTTTATATAGATTATTATATACAAAGATTAGCCCTATATTTTGCATTGTCAATTAAATAAGTACTTATATTAGTAAATAGGATTGTATTTACTAATATAAGTAATACAACTGGATTAAAGTTTCTGGCAATAAGAAACAGTAATATTACTATATTTTTATACAATTACATGTGATATTGGATTAACATATAACAAATTCTATACAGTGTATGAATCAAAATGGATTCAAGTCAGTCTTCTGTGTATTAATTTCAATAACAATTACATATAAAGACATTAGATGAATAATAATTCATTTAATATCCTTGTTTCAATATAAATTTCATGTGATGCTTTAGAAAATATTGCAAGAGATGGAATATTGTTGTATTTTATTATAAAACATTAAAACATATCCTAAGCGCAGTATCTTATCACACAGGTAAACTTGACTTCACAGATGATCTAAACATTCTTGTAAAGAACATGAGACCAGTTGTTCCTCCTGGTATATGACTTATTAGAAAGGATAACGTAGCTATCAACTGCAAAATAGCGCACAGTACTGTCAAAGGAGTCGATTGCAAATGCAGAGCAAAATAGAGCGTGCCTGTTAACGTTGCGAAGTACAACAAGGTAAAGTACTTCTTCTCAGCTAGGAATAATGATTTCATATAACTTGATCCCCACAAAAAACAAAAACTGGAAGAAATCTTTCATTAGAAACGTAATATTCTTCTCATATATACATACTACTTCTTAAATACATTGTATATGTACCTCGTTACGAAGAAGAGACTTCCTAAGGAATAAAGCAGAGCAAATTTTCTTGCTTTGAGTAATAAAACTGGTATATAAATCGCTGATAGACAGAAGCATAATAATCCCAGAAGAAAACATACAGCGAAGGATATGAGTCTCTGCGTTCTCGTCTATCAGAATAAAAAGAATAGGATGTAAATATATTTCTTGTGAGAATTCAATATTCAACATCATTAATATAAATCTTATTTAATGCAATAACAAGAGCATAAAGTTAAATTATTTAATCCATCCATTGCTACCAATAAAAAAATGTACTGACTTTAAATTTACCGATAAAAGATCATTAGATTTTTGAATTGATAATGGGTGATTTTTAGCAAATTTATTTATATAAACAAAAGTTGATTGAATTTGATTTCACAGATATTTCGTACAGAAATGCTTCAAACAGAAAACTTGGAAAATATCAGATACAATATTGCATATGCAAGCTAGACTTTGAAAATTCCAATTAACTTAACCAGCAATTGATTCAACTCGTAGAACTGCTTTAGAAGGTAGAACAATTTCAACTATACAATTCCTTGTTCTTAGTCTAATCTTTCTTCCCATGTTTGGAATATCAAAAAGATTAATAGAGAGCTCTATCCATGTTTACAAAGTACTATAGGTATCACTTGACAATTGTCAATTAAATTAATTGGAATTTAGGGCAACGTCGCTGAATAAGTAAGTTGGCACTGCCCCTAATATTAAATGTTTCTTGGGCTAGTCAGAATTTTCACGATAATCAACATCAGTTGATTTATCCGTCGGTTCGTTAAGGTTATGAGAAACTACCATAGTAGGACAACATTCTCTTTGAGATCTTTGGACCCATCCTGTATCCTCCTCCGCATCGTCAGTATTTTTTCCGAACCATCTCCCGAAGCTCGTTCTCGATATCGCTACCGATGGAATGGCGATTTTATATTGCTTTTCATTTTTGCTGCTGAGAAGATACTCGTTCAACTCCTTATTGATATCGGCCATTTTGACATATATCACATTCGCGGCATGGGCCGCATGGGATCGTAAAGCTTATGTTATCAACTAAGAAAGAAACAGCTGTTATCGATTATCGGTAAGTAATCGTGTAGCCGGCACGCTACTTTATCGACTACCACGAATTACTTTATCGATCGAGCGAGACACAAAGGCTACGTTCCTTTTGACGCTTCAGCGCTTTCGTCATTCTGTCTTCGTTGCACATCGAATATTAAACAGAGATGGAGGGATGCTCTCACGCTGTGAAAGCGTCAAAAGGAACGCAGCCAAAATCAATTGGAACATTGTAAGTAGATAAAGATAGTCGGATAATGTCCATTTCTATCAATGTAGATTAATAACTTAAATCCCGGTTTAACTTGCTTTTTATCCCTTTCCCAGTTTTAAGAATCAGAAGAAGATAAGAAGTAAGTTAACTGAGATTGAAGTTAATCCGCATTGATAGAAATGGACATAAGCCGCATTTGTTACCTATTCCACTGTATATTCTGTGTGTCCTCCATACAATCTAAAATACTCCTGATTTTTAGTCATAAGTTCGCGTTTGTATTCCGAGCCGATCATAAAGAGAAATTTGCTTTGTATTATTTTGACTTTTGAGTACAAAAGAATATATGTTTTATATACTAATAATGGCAGACTACTGCGAAGCAATTAGATGATGAGTACTTTAAATAAAAAATATTATCAAGTTTAAATAATTATATAGTACTTCTATATTGTTCACACAATTAATAGAAAGATCATGAATTTATTAGATGTTACGTTTCTTTTAATATAATATATATATATGTATATATATTTAATTATATATATAAATTAATATATATGTATAATAACGTATTATATTCAAGTTAGAAAATTGCAGATATATAATATGTATATAATTACTTAAAAAGTAGAATTATACGCGTGAATTATTCGAGACGTAAATGACCGCTCCGTGCGTCGCGTGAATAAAAAATACCACGATGGGTTTTCAAACTTACATTTATTTAAACAAATCAACATTGACCTCATATTTTACGGATTGTATACTGTATTTGTTGCACAGAGGATGCACCTTTCTATACGCGAGATCTACGCATCTCGCAACGCGTCGTATCGTTTGACAAATCATTACGGTCGGGGACAAGGGCAGGGAATGGGGGTGGGGAGAGGGGAGACAGGGAGGCTGGGCGAGGATTGGACTGAGTACCGACAGAATAATTAACGAGATTAGAAGAGCCGGACTAGAAACAGGTCTCACGTTATCACAATGTAATATCGCATTAGAGAGCATAATACTTACAATAATCGTAATAAATATCGTAATAAATAATGTCGTTCGTGGGAGAAGAAGGAATGACGTATACTAATAGGCGCAAAGAAAAAAACGTAACAACGTAGCTCAGGGAACTCAGACAACAAATCGAATCACAAATCCGAAATTACAAGTACACGCTACGAATACCGTTAATAAACTCAGGGTTCCGCTTATATCCGTCTTATATAGTTTTCTTGTGTCTTTTTACCGCTAAATACGTACTGCTCACGGCCGCTTGAATCTCTCGATTATACGATACATAGGATGAGACTGCTAATTATTCAACATGAAGATCCCTAAACTTATTCTCGCACTGCGCCACGAAACGAATTCACATGCACCCCCGCGGGGAGGGGGGGGAGGGATTGAGATGTCTATCAATTGTCGTCGATTGATATCGCATATACTTAATCGCGAAACTCCGCATATTTTAACTCAAGGGAAATACAAACGAGCGTGAAGAAGAGCGTGAAGAACCGTTCGTCCGTTAATTTTTACGCGTGTCGCGCTTCGACAGATAACGAGCTCTCATCCCGTGCCGATTTCTCTCATCGATAATTTCGTCATACCGAGCTTCGAAGGGCTTAAAAATTCTCTTTTAAGAGCAGCTTTCGAGGCGAAAGAAACGATTTGCCAAATCTAATCTTTTATTATTCTCCTTCGCCGCTCACTGTCGAAGTAGAAAGTAAAAGAAGAGGTGTTTGCGAAACTCTTTCTCTCGTTCGCCGCATTTTCTTTATACACGGATTTACGCAACTAAGCGTATTTATGCGAGTATGCGTGCGCTTGTATACATATATCATTTTCTCTCTCTCTCTCTCTCTCTCTCTCTCTCTCTCTCTCTCTCTCTTTCTCTCTCTTTCTCATTTCCTCTTTCTCTCTCTCATTTTCTCTCATTCTTCTCTCTCTCTTTCTCTCTCTCTCTCACACTCTCACTCTCCATACGTATAAGTGTGTACGTCTCCTCGTGGACATAAATTCGTGTGTATTTTCTTTAACTATATACTTTGGCTTGTCCTCACACCTTACTGCACCTCCGCCTCCTGTTTTAACGCTAATGGCAGCACGGATACAAGTTTTTTTTTTACTGTAATAGCGTCCTCTCAGCGCACACACGTGCCCTAATCATCCTACTTCATTATTCGAACGAACGCGTGTCCGTGTTTACATATATACACATACATGTGTTTGTGTAGATATACGTATACACGGCCCATCCGCCGACGACCGTGCGCGCGAATGGCGGCATGAGCGTCTCTTCGGCCTTCGGTTGATAGTGAGTACGCGATGTAGTCTTTTATTTTTTACGCTATGTATAATATCGTACAGTACGCAATGACGCCGTAATAAACTTCTATGTGTACGCACTACGAGAGGGGAGAAAATTATATATATATATAATATATATATATATTTATATATATATTTATATTTTTTTATATATATTTCTTTATATATGTATACGTGTGTAATTCGTGAAGAAACGAATCTCTATGTAGCGTATAATGCGTGTACGTACGTACGTGTAAAATACAAGCGGCGACCATGCGGCGCGACCGCGCGACACGACGGACACGTCCTGGCCCCCCTGGGGGCCTATTCTACCTATTCTTGAAATTGTTCGTTATGAAACGAATTCGTTTATGAACAAAAAGGTGCGTCAACTGGGTTTCCATTGGCGCTCAACTGAGAAATCCCCACCTTTTCGTTCATAAACGAATTCGTTTCATAACGAACGATTTCAAGAATAGGTACTCTGGCACCGCCTGGCAGCGTTACCCGTTACACCTTGGTCCTTCGCGCCCCGCGAGGTGCGAATTCGGGGGTGCGACGACCATGAACGCGACGAGTCGGCTTCGGTAGATCACGCGGATCGGTCGCGCGGTTCGCTCGGGCTCCCCGATTTTTCCGCGAATCGTCGTCGACGGAAGCGCGAACCGGAAATGAAAGCGCGCGCGTCCGTCGCGGATCAGAGATCCTCGCGAGGATTCGCGGCGGAACCGCGGAACGACTTGCGCGTTCGCTCGAATGCATCGCGTTTCCTCTTCCTCGCCTGACGCGATCCCGTGCGTTTCTTGTTTCAAGATGATAGTCGCAGCTGCATCAAATTTGTCGCGAAATATATGGCTGTCACCTCGAAATTATTATCGTTACGATCCGAAAAAATTTTCATTTTTTATTTACGCTATCGTAGCTTTGTCGATAAAGTTAATGCGACTAATATTCATTTTTACCAATGCAGATTAACTTTAATCTTGGTTTAACTTACTTTTTATTCTTCCCTAGTTGTAAAAATTAGAAATAGATAACGCAGACAACACGTATGTTCCAAATAGAGACATATGACGTCTTTAAGGGCCCGAGGCGGGATACTTTGTAGCGCTCAGAAAAGCCTGTACACTACCTATATCTATACGGGTCTGTAGCGCTTCTCTAACGTTACAAAATGTCACGTCTGTTCACGTCCTAAGACGTCTTTAAGACGTCTTATGTCCCGATTTGGGACGTTGTGTTCACTGGGAAGTTAAACCGAGATTAAAGTTAATCTACATTGATAGAAATGGACATGACTGTTACAGCGCGACCCTCGCTGTTTTCTTCTTAAATATTCTTTCGCCGCGGCATGTACGATTGTTCCTTTCTCTTTTCTTTTTGAAATCTTTACAAGGTTTCGCCTTTAAGAGAAACGCACGGAACGCGTCGATCTCGCTGACGGTTGTGCTCGATTTCGTGACGCTCAGAAGGCGAGATGCGAACGGAGTATAAGAGTAAACGAACGTAAACGGGCCCCCTCCTCGCGGCGGACACCTTCGCTACGAGTACTCGAATTAACTTCTATCGTATCGCTAGTCGTAATATCACTAATCGCTCATCGATCGCGTTCCGGGAACGGTTTACGGACGATCGATGAGACTTAGAAGGGAACGAAAGGGGAGCGTGTGTCGAGAGGGTGCATCGAGAGAGAAAGAGCGGCAAGGTACTTAGATGAGAGTTACTGCGCGCGCGTGTGAGTCTCGCTCGCGCGAAAATTACCGGGTGAGGGTTCACGCGGCGCTAATTATACGCGGAGCTATCCTAAAAAGGAAAGAAACAAAAATAATTACGCGCTAAACGACGGTCGTTCGCGCGACACGAGATCGGACGTGTTCGCTAACGAGGGAAAAGAAAGGGGGGCTTGAGTCTAATCAGCGTCGTCGCTCGAGCGCACTCGGCCGCGACTAACGCGTCCCTAATGTGCGCGGGGGCGGCATCTCTCCCCGTTAACGGTACCTGCTCACAGACACGACCGTTACCTAAGTGAGAAATTTCCTATGCGTTATGCTATATACAGTAATATCGGCCGCGCAGAACACTGAGCCATATCGTTCACGAGACACACGCACGATATAGAAAAAGATCATGGACGCAAGGGGGGCTGAGGGGATGTCGAAGGCGGGATGCGACGAAAGTCCTTCGCGCGCGAGCACGAAAATTGAAGCGAGTAGCGCGCGAGTGGCAACGCAAGCGGCAACGAGACACGGCGTGTTCAATCGAAAACGAACTACACACGTCGCACCGAGGGGGATGAAGGGAGAAACGATTAAATACGCGCAGCCGATCGCCCTCCCCCCACGGACACACCCTGTCGGTTTTCTCCTCCTTGGTTTCTCTCTTTCTTTTTCTTACCCCTTAGTACCCCGTACTCACGCGGTTGTCCACCGACGTTTCGATCCCTTAATTAATATTGCACGCACCGGCACACACGGGGGCTACGTATCCGGCGGCGTTCCTTTTTCTTTTTTTTTTTCCATGTTACGACCGCCAGATCGTCGCCCGAACAACGAATGAAATCGATCGTCGCGAATCTGGATCCAAGCGCGTCGATATCGCGCGGCGCTGCTGCGATCCAACGATTTCGCGCACGCCGATATAACGTATAAAATGAAAGGGAAAAAAAAAACATATATGAACGAGTAACAAAGAGTCGTATCTCGTCGAGCCCCGACAGCTCTCGATCGAGCGGACTCTTGGGGATCCGCGTTGCCCCTGGAACGAGGCCAATCCTTTGATCACGATGCGCTCGAATCGCATCTCCGCGATTTTTTTCCTCTTTTCCTCCTTCTCTTCCATTTTCCTCCCTATCTCCCATCTCCTCTTACATACTTGTCACTCGAACGTGAACGTTACAAATATTATATAATTACGTGCATGCGTACCGAGGGGGTACGTGTACACATATACAAATTATGCTTAGCATTATTTATTCGCGCGCGTCCGAGCGATCGAGGCAGATCGCTCGACCCACGTCGGACGCACCCTGTGTGTATCCACGATCTTACATCCTCCGCAGCGGAGGAGCATTCTCTCTCCGCGAATCAACGAGTCACGCTTATACTACAGAGATTCATGTCATTATTATTCCCTAAGTCGGTACTTTAATCGTTTTTAGCATTACGTTATTAATTACGTTATAGAACTATCAATCAACGCCCTACACCGTGAACCGTCTCGTCCGCGTTCGCCGAGCGGCACCCGGCTGTTCCGTCACGCTCGCCCCACAGAGTTCCCGGATCTACCCGGATGTCCGCCCGGTCGCGCACGCGACCCTACATTTTTTCGTCTTGAGCTGAGAACATTCAGACGTCGCGCTCTCCGAGGAGGAGTACATCCGCTTCCCCGCGAGCGCGACGAAACGCACATGTATATATTACGCTATTTAATTAAATAATAGTCAGTCCTTGACCCCTCGCCTCGACTTCCGCCCGTTTCTGAGAACTTCCGACTCGCGCGTCTCCTATGGAAATGAAACCGTCGAATGCCGAAAATGAGTTGGAAGTTATTTCGTTTTTTTTTCTTCTTTTTTTTTTTTTGGTATTTTTCATTGTAGTCTTCGTGTAGGCCAACGAAGTTTTCGGCGCCCGTGCGGGCGCGATCGTGTTAGAATCTTCCTTCCTCGTCTCGTTCGACCTCGTTAATCTTCATCTCGACTAGTTGTGCCCCGCCGTTGCGTCTTTTAGGTGGTTTCGAAGATTATATTCTTCGTAAGGCCCTTGCGAGGAAACCGTGGTGCTGGTGCTGCTGCTGCTGCTGCTGCTGCTGCTGCTGTTGTTGCTGTCTGGTCGCGGGACGCCTCTCTCTCCGAATAGCTGTTTGAACCCCAATTTAACGGTGCATCGTCATTTTAGCTTCGTCATTTGAGACTTCGTTTTTTTTTATTCAGTAATTCTTTATAAAATTGTAGGAATAGATATTAGAAAATAATAATTCCTTTAAACTGTACAGGATCTTCATTTATGTATTTTGTTGCATTTTGCCGAGCTGCTTGTGATAAGCGCGTCGATTATAAATTAAGGAAGTGCCGTGGTTCACTGCCGACTTAATCGACGGCTTATGGAAGCAATCGTTATACTGTCGTAACGTACTCACGCAGCTCAGGAGACTCGGCCCTCACCAACCAAGGATCGTCGTACTTGGACACTTCCTCGCTGCGAGTTCTTCCGGGCGGTTTGGGACGCTCGCGAGGACGCATGCGCGGTCCCTCCTCGCTCAACGATCTCTTCGTTGCATCTATTTGCTTCGGCACCTCCAGCAGGGCTATGGATCTGGTCAGCTGGGGCCTCAGTCGCTTAGTCTCCTCGCTAGCAGCGCGTATTATTACCGTCGGCGGAAGAGGCCCGGCCTGGGGCAGTCTGTCCTCCAGAGGATTGGTAGGGGCCGACGTTTTCGCCCTGAACGCACCCTTCCGGATGAGCTTGGGCTTGCTGGACCTGCGCGTCGGCGGCGAGTACTCCGGCGAGTATTCCGGTCTTATGATACTCTTCCGCTTAGCGGGAGTATCCCCAGGCACCCTCGGCGACCAGACCGGAGACGATAGATCCTCCGGCGTGGTCACCTTCTTCGGCGGCGTTTTCTCCGGCGACTCGTCCTTCCAGCCGCCCTGATAGAGCGGGAACGGCGCGACTTGATTGAGGATCTTCCACCGGAACTTTTCGTCGTCGCTCTTGCTGGGCGTCGCCGCCTCCGGCGGACAGTCCGGAGGCGTGACATTGTGGAAGGGTGACCATTTCTTGTCATCGATTACCTCTACTGGGATGTCGCTTGGGGACTCGTCGTACGGCGTCCACTTGATATCGCTGATGTGCTTCTGCTCGCGCTTCTTTATCCCGATCGTCGGTAACGGCGACGAGTCCTCGTACGGTGCCCACTTGGTGCTGGTGATGGAGATCTCTGGCGAGATCAGACGCCGTACGATTCTGTTCTCCAGTTTGCTCATCTGCCGTGGATCCGGCTCCGGCGACATGCTCCTGCGTATGCTGTACTTGGGTCGCTCGCGCAGACTCTTGCTCTTCGTCTCGTCCTGACTCCTGTACCACTTCGGCGCCTTTTTCTCGGCGGGCAAAGAGACGTGCGGTTTCATGGCCCACCTTGCTCGTATCTTCTCTCGTTTCTTGCTCTCCGCCGGACTGATGACCTTCTCCTTCTCTTTGTCTTTGTCTTTGTCTTTGTCTTTGTCTTTCTCCTTAGCGGAGAAGCCCCATCTCCTTGAACTTTCGCTTCTCACTTGCGCCGAGCGCTCTAACTTGGGTCGCTCTCTTTTCCCTCTGGCGGCTCTCGGATCCTCGCTGACTTGCCTCTTCACCTCCGGTTTCTCCCATGTCACGGCCGAATCGTCGGGCGTCAACGACTTCGAGTAGTACAGTTTCTTTTCATCCTTCTGTATCGGCTTCTCCGGTATCTTCTCCTGCGGCTTCACTTCCACCGGTGACGCGGGCGCCGGGGTCTTCACCTTGGGACAGGTGCACCTGGGCTTCGGATTCCGCATTACATCCGGCACCTGTAACCACCTGGCCTCCCTCGCGAATCTGGTGTCGTCGCTGCTATGCTTCCTTAGGTCGTGCATCGGTGTCAGCAGATTCTCCGGTTTGACCGACCACTTGTCCGTCTCTGCACTGTGATGCTTTCTGAGATCGCCGCGATGCACGCCCTCCGACTTCTTCCCTTGCGGAGTCAAACTGTGGCAGCTGCACTTTGTTTTCCTGGCGAGATCCAAGTCAGTGCTCGAGGTATGGAGCTCCCAGCGGAACTCTGTACCCTCGCTGGTACGCCTTCTCAGATCCCAGATCGCCTCATGGGGCGACATGAAGCTGCTGGTGCTCCATGTCACCTCGGTGCTGCGTACCCTCAGGAAACTGGCGCGTCCTCTAGTTTCGACTTCCTCGCAGCTGCAGACCCTTGTCGGCGTTCTTTGCGACTCCAGTGGTGCCGGTTCGATGGCGTCCAAGTCCTCGATCATCCATGGGATCTCCTCGCGGCGCCGTCGGCCGCACGACGGGCAAAATATGTCGTCGTCGCGACTAGACCGCGGCCGCTGGCGGGGCAACGTCGGGGTCGAAGTCGAGGTCGATGCGGTGGGGTCAAGCTGCGAGAGCGGCTCCACGTCGTCGCGACGGCCATCGTCAGAGCGTCGTGACGTCGCAGCCGTGCCTGGCGATGCGCACCAGCAGGTGTGTGTAGCTCCGTCAAGCTGCCTTGGTGGGTACCGCGACTCCGGAGACGACGAGGCTTCGTTCGAGGCCGCTGCCAGACAGACTTCCGCGTTCGCTGGAACCGCAGGCCTATTCGAAATCACAGATTAGAGTTTGACTCCGGGGAAGAATTCTTGTTTTACGATCTTTCTTCGAAGAATTCTTTAAAGAAGACAGCTTTTATAGGAGAAAAACTGTCACTTCTTATTGCATATCAAATAAAAAAATACTTTTAATTTTAATAATATAAAAAAATGTATTTTTTAGTACTTCTATTGATTTAAATATTTTAGACGAATAAATTAATAAGTAATTTATAAGTTAGTAGAAATAGTTATATCAAATTCTTAAAGGAAATATTAAATCACTTTTATGCACTATGATAAATTAATAAATTTAAGTAACAAGATGCACGTGCGATTTTCAAATCATTTATTGTAACATTTGTTATGTCAATAAATCTTGACAATAGGAACATACCTTCAGCTCGCTGAAGATCTCTGTGAAGAATCCGGGCTCGCTGTTGATTCGCAGCATCTCGGAGCTGAGTCGGTTGACGATCAGGAGACATCGGTCCCAGAACTTGTCCTTGCTGTCTTCGACGAGGAACGGCTTTAGCGGGTAACTGATCTCGTTACCCATGTAACTGTAGCTCAGGTAAAGACACGTCAGTACCGTCGCTTGAAGCTCCTTCTCGGACGCCTCGTCTCCGTCGACGAGCTCTTTCACCAGCATATACACGAACACTACGTTGGCAGGGTTTATAAAGGGCACGTCCTGACAAAGGAAGATAAATAATGTGATTAAAATTTTATATATTTTATTTAGTAGCCTACATTAGTCTAATTTGTAAATTAAGTAAAACATGTTGGTTTTTTATGGATAATTTTATATTAACAGCATTTTAGCATTTAGCGAAAAGTCTTTCATAATTGTCCAGAAATATTCGCTCTTTTAATAAAATAACTCGTACATTCATAAACGTAATTGCGTAGAAGAGTATGATTCATATCTAAAGCACATTATTCTGTAATATAATTATCAGCAGTGTATCTCCAGGCAATAATGAGCGATAAAAATAAAGTTCGTGACAACTCGCAATTACGGAAATAGAAAAGAAGTTTAAAATCATGTGTTCATTGGATATTTGTCTAAGCCTGCATTTTAATGTTATTTAAATTGACACAGTTGTGAGATAAGTCGAGGTAAATTTAACTCTTAATATATATATATGTACTTGATATACGTATTGTTGATATTATATTAGGTATTGTTAATATCTGAACTATGCTTTTACGTATGCCACTAATTGCATAGTGTCTTGCTGTGTTGGATAGTGCCACATACATGTTGAATATTTCACTATAGGGACTTTAGGGACACACGTCCTTTCATACACGTACATTTGTACATGTGTGTCAGTATAAATATGTATAGGCATATATATCGAACGCAGGTGCTTTCGATACAAATATAGTCACATAGATGTTAATTAGTGCGGATACACATATAAGGAGAATATGTCGTATAAATAGAGAGTCTATTTATACTCCGATAAGACCTCCGTTAGCCATGAAACATAAAAGAAAATTAAGTACATCTATGTATACAACTATACATTATTTTTATATACATATATATGTACTTTCTTTATACACACATACACAAATATACACATATGTATGTATATAACTCATAAAAATTTATAAATTTTTACGGAATAAAAGTGAAATGACTTTTCTAATATTGTTGCCAAATCAAGAAAAGCGAAGAAATCTATACATATTTTCTTAAGGCACAGGCTATTCGAACGTACATCTTGTCTTATGTAAGAAAATGTGCAGGGGCATTGCGAAAGAAAAAGATAATATTTTATCAAATTTCGAAAACGCAATTAATGCAAAATTTGAATAAAAAGAGTAAAAAGTAAAAATGCAACAAGTAAGATAAATGTACCAATGCCGGGACTCTTAAGACCTGTATCTGGTCACCTTTATCATTTTAGTTTTTAAATCAGTATAACGTGAATTAAAATCAAAGATAAAAATATAATACAAGAGAAATATTTTCATCTTTGATTCTTTGATTTTAATTCGCGTTATAACTTATTTAAGGACTTCCGATTGAGGATGTAGGCACATTAATTTGACCTAGTTTTTACAATCCATGTAAAATGATGGCTTGACCTATATTACCGTAAGTAAATAATATTCCTGCTTCATAAACAGAGATACACATATTGTGTGATATGTTGGAGTAATTTAATATCAACTATTAAAACAAAATCAACTAATTATGCATTATATCATGAATAATACTCATAATGACTGTTTCATTTAAGAGAGAAAAATATGTGTACGCTATGTATATTATAATACGTCTCAAGGGGGAACCCGTGTACGCATCAGTTCGCGGCGTGCACGCCAAGACGGTACGGAGCGAGTCGCATTAGCGCGCATGGATGCATCGGCTCACGGTGCAGGAGGAGCGTAGGTGCATCGATTCGTGAGAGGTGGTGCACGGCGTGCACATGTGGGTGCATTAAGCGCGGTGAGGCCACACCGGTGACCCAGGGAGGATCGATGCCCTCGATACGTTTTCCTCCCCGCGCGATCGGCAACCTGCTGCTGTTTTTATTACCCGCGCCGCATAGTCGGCCGCCCCGTTCCTCGTTAGCCGTGTCTCTCGGCTTAATGCACATTACGTTGCCGCGCGCACTCACGTTTGCAATTTGCTCACACGCGAGGATGCGTCCCCCTCTGCAGCCTCCCCCCCTTTTCGTTGTCCGTCGTACGACGCTGGCAGGGCCGACGACACTTCTCGGCGACGGCGACACGCCCTCGTGCCAGCGTCGCAGGATAATCGGAGCAGTGCACCTTGCACAATGCAGCGGAAAGAAAAAGGGGGTTTACGCGCGCCCGCGCCGCCTCGCGTAAACGCGCCAGCGATTCTCTCGATCCTGCCGCGAAAATCCGCGCCTGATTCGCTCGTGGAACCGGAAATACAATCAGACAGCTACTACCTTAACATCCCGTGAACGGAATTGCTTGCGGCGTGAAACTCCATTTGGCAAATTTCACCGTTGCTTTATACATCGCGTTACAATTTAAGTCAGTTGCTCCGTCAAGTTCTTAAATTTACAGTCCATCTATTATTTCCAATGTGAAAGGATGAATTTAAGTAAAATTGGTACAAGATAAATAATAATGGATTATAAAGTCTTTTGACTTGTGTCTTCAGTACTGATTACGAGCGCGCGATTCACATTCATTATTATTGCAACAAATGCATTGTATCAATTAATAATTAGAATAATCCTTTTAGATTACAATCCTTCTGCATTAAACATTAATATTTGAAGTAAGTACCTTTACTTTGTTGCACAATCTTGTAAATCTGCTGTGTAATTGCCAACATGTACTTTTTTCTTTTTAGCACTTAGCAACTGCTCTAAATATTGAAGATTTCTGGAAGATATGTAGGCTGCATTCCGCGATATTCACTGTCAGTACTAAAAATCTATATTTTTCTATATTTTACGTCACGTTAGTCAGGTACACCATAGATTTTCAGTACTGACAGTTACTGACAGCAAATATCGGAATGCAGTCCTAAGAAAGATTGTGCTTAAGATGGCTGACGTGTTTTAACGGACGAAGTATATCGATAGTATTACGAATAGGGCAGATCGCGTGACGTTATCGAGAAAAATTATTCATAAATAGCGTCTATCGATGAAGATATGTTTTTATGTCTACAACTTAGCGAAGTAAAACCCGGCCTATGGACTTATAACTCGTCGCGTGAGCGAAAGTAGCGCTCGTAAAATTATAGGGTCACCCAAGATATCCGCTTTGTTATAAAAAAAAAATCAAAATTTTTACTTTTGCCCACTTGGGAATTCTTAAATCTTATTTTCTCAATGATTCTTTTGATCCTTTTTTACTGCGAAGAAATCGACAACAGATTGATCGACGGGTAAGAGAAAAATGTGAGAAAAATTGAGGAAAAAAAATGTAAAACGATTTTCCATAGTGTTTTTGCGAGGAGTAGAGCGTGCAAAGCTTTCGCTGTCGCATGCATGATTCGTTAGGGTTTCCACGTGCTTTCGCTGACTGGAGAGGCGACCCTCTCGATCAGGTATAACTCAAGAGGGCCTCGAGGGCCGCGGATGCGGTGCAGCAGAATTAGGGGTGCCAATATACCCGGCGAGGACGTATATACCTCTAGGTCGGTCGATATTCGCCAGGGGTGAGCGGCCCGCTGCCCGCTCTACTACCGAGCGGGCCTACTCGCGCGTTATTCGAGTCGCCTGCGCCTATACCTAAACCTTTTAATTAAATTTCCAAGACTACGGATAACGACTCTCCGAATAGCGCGCGAGTGCACTACTTGGACCAATTAACGTCGTAGTTGGCATGCACGCGAAACACCCTCAACCGCAACGGCAATCCTGACGCTTAGTCGGCTCGGGGATGTCCCAGATGGAACTTCGCGGGGACCCAAATCCGCGTGAATTAGCCGCCGAGCTATGCGTACGCGTAATTAAATTATGGAAATTAATGAAACACACGCGCGCGCGCCATATCCGCGTGCCGCCACCGCTATTCGCCACCGATATCCGCTTTTGGTTGATTCTAACGGGGTGCTAGTAGTTACATGAAGGTTATCTAACTGATTGCGCTGTTACATCGTCTCAATTGTCTTTCTTTCGATCACCGAGTGTTTTCTTGAAAGGTAATTAATAAAGTGACAGATGCCATGTGACACACGTGATGCACGTGTCGCGCGCGGGAAACGTGACAGGAACGGAATTTTCAATCTCAGCCATGTATGGTTTCCTTTTAACCAGATTTTCAACAACGCGGCCCGATTTGATCTTGTTTAACGTCCAGACGGAACCGATTGGTGAATCATATCGTGTATGGTCAGTTTACAAGACAGTTTGCTCGCGTGCTTTGACGTCCCAATGGGACTAAACGATAATGGAATGACGTAGAGAGTCAATATTTCACCTGTTATACTTGTAACAGTTATAGTTGCAATAATGAATGCGACTGAATGTATACTGCATACCGGCTATCGCAAGAAATTACTTGCCGGTAGAATATATTTATTTTTAGATAAATTTCGTTAGCAAATTTTTTTGTTAAATGACTTTATATACTATTTGGAAGACATAAATAGTTTTAAATAAAATATATTTTCAATAAATCGAAAACGAGATATCGATTTTTAAATCTAATACTTATTTTTCTCTTTTTAATGTTAAATATTTAAATAATATATACATTAAAATAATTAAAATATTATAAAGATAATTCTTTTCTTCAAAAATGCTTCATGAAACTGATAATTAGATTATCCGGTGCAGCTTTTAAAGAAGTTATACGTATTAAGATGTATCACGAAGCAAATAAGATTTACTTAGGCTCGAGTTTGGATTATATCTATATAACAATAATCGCCTTTTTTCTCAGTTCTAATGAAATTGTTTAAGATATTTTTTATATTGATAGTCCTAAAGCGATCGAATAGACAAAATTTCCATAGACGCATATATCTCGAATTTTCTCCTCTCTCCCAACACACGCAATAACATTCGATTTTATCACAAAACACACTAATCGTATAAGCTGCCACATCTATCTCCTTCTTGTATACACGGTCACGCTTCGGTTGGTTGTCCTTACATCGCTTACACGTGCACATCGTAGTGTGGTTTCTAGACACACGTTCGGAGTACATACTCTCAGGATGAATTGCATACACACATT